TCAGGTCAGGATTGGGTAAAGATGAGTGGCATCCAGTGCCTACATTGCTAATTAATTACATTGTGCTTTCATGTGTCCATGTCTCAAGTGTGCTGCATCACAAAACCACCCTTCACTGAAGAATGATCATACTAACCTGAATTATGAGCCCAGCTTTGGGACTCTAACACTTCCAATGAGGACCTGATAGTCTGTGTTAAGGTTCTCCAAAGGAACAGAAACAATAGGATGTGTAGATATACAGAAAAACATTTATTTTAAAGAATTGGCTCATGACGATTATGGAAGGTGGCATGTCCAAAATCTTCAAGGTGGGCCAGCAGGCTGGAGCCCCAGGAAGAGCCAATGCGGCATTTCAAGTCCAAAGGCCATATGTTGGCTGAATCCCCTCTCACTGTGGTAGGTCATTCTTCTGTTCTATTCAGACCTTCAACTGATTGGACAAAGCCCACCGCATTATGGAGGGCAATCTGCTTTGCTGAAAGTCCACTGATTTAAATGTAAACCTCATCTAAAAAACACACTCATAGAAACATTCAGAATAAGGTTTGGCCAAACATCTGGGTACCAGGGACCAGCCAAATTGACACATAAAATTAACTATCACACCATCTAACCAGGAATGACTATGCCCATTAAAGTAAAGCCCAAGCAATTTATCCTAAATGAGGCCTGGGGCTCTTAGGCCAAGCCTACTGGCTCAAGTCCGTAAGACAACCAGGCTCATAATCCTATCAACCTTTGTCACCTAGTTTCACAAATCTGGGCAGATGACAAATGAGGGAAGGAGGTAGAGAATGAGTACTTGCTAGGGGCAGATTCCGGGAACAGTGAGAAGGGACAGCTCACAGCCTGCCAGTGAGGAGCAGACAGAAGATCTATAAAAAGTAGACAGAACTATACAAGCTCTGCTGCCTAGGGCCTTTGAATGTGAAGACAAATCGTTCTGCTTGCTTCACGGAGTGAGGCTATAATACAGGCCAGCACAGCAACTGCTGTCCTTCATAATCTACCTGGGTCTCTAAATACCAACACATTTTAACGGGCAGTTACAAGGGGCGGGATGAAAGAAAAAGGGCAGTTTTTAAAGAGTGGGGGAGGGGGCATGATAGTCACTAGCTGATATGCTCTCCCTCCCCTCAAATGCTCACTTGTATATGGGGAATGTAGTGGGTTATCTATTGGCTTTTTTTTTTTTTTTAAGCCATTCCCCCTTTCTCAGGACAATAGTATCCTGATCTCATTTGCAAAGATCTCTGCATTCTATCCTTACGCAAGTAGTATGGGTAAGATTGACAGAACTCCTCCAGCGGTGGCCCTATAGGTTCAGCAGGTCTAACCATGCCATTTACCCTTTGACCTTGCTTCAGAGAGGAGCACATATTCAAACTGGCACTGTAGTGATGCAAGGGAATGTTTAATGGGGCTAGTGAGTATCTTAGGAGGATGTGGTCTAGAACTGCTATAGCCATGTTCCTCCTGTGAAGGGGGAGCCTGGAGCTTCCAAGTGATGAGAGGGAATCGTCTGTGGAGATTAAAGGTAAAAAAAAAAATCACAAAAGGCAGAGAGGATAAATGGAGAGAAGCCGGACTCATAACATCATATGAACAGCTGGATCACACCTCACCTGAAGCTGCTTTGGGGGTTTAATTTATACATGTCAATGGGTCCCCTCCCCCCTTTTTCTGATTAAGCCACTTTGAACTGATTTTTAGTTAATTGCAATGAAATGATACTGGCTGCTATAATCAGTGACACCTGAACAGAATCTTGAAAGAAGAGTAGAATTTTGACCAGAAAAGAATGAGTTGAGGGGTATTTCAACAACAATAATAATATTAACAATATCGACTATAGCAAAAATGTATCAAGCACTTCATATGTTCCAGAAACTCTACCTATAACTTCATTTACTCCTAACAAAAAACCATATGAGTTCATTTGAGATGAAGCTCAGAAAGATTATGTGACTTACCCCACGTCACACAGCTGAGAAGTGGATGGGACAGGACAGCCTGATGTTCAGGAATATGTTCTTCTCATGATGCCTGTCTGCCTCCTCTAACCTTTCAGGCAGACAGCTAAAAAGAAGAGTCTATGGGCCGAAAGACCACGGTCAGGGGAGAGTAGAACCACTGACCTGTACTGTGATGAAGGGAAAATAGGGCAGGCAATGTTTTCAGAGGTCGCTGGACCGAGTGGTGGACAAGGTATTATTGCAGCCGTGACTACTGTCAATGCAAGAAATATCCAAACCTGTGGAGAATTTTTATGAGAGTCTGAGCCCAAACTGATGACATACGTCAAATGCTCCAGAGAGTACCAGTTTTGCAGCTTCCTTTATGCATTTAAAATTAAGAAGGGAACTAAGGAAGATTACATGGAGGTGGGAGAAAGCAAGGTGGGGACTGAATTATAGGACAGTTAACAAGATTATGTGCTCTCTTGAGGGTTAATACCCCCTTTGAGGGGTATTACTTCTGGTCTTCAAAGATGTGTTAACCTAATGCACAAGAACAGTGGACAGGGTTGGCTTAAAACTTTTTATTAAAGAAACTATATGCCTGGTCATGCCTACCCATCATGACCTGCCCACTTAGGAATTTATGACCAGATCACCCTGTGAGGTTACTTCCACAGAACCCCCTTTCCTTCCATACATATCATTACCAACTGTGCAAAGGGCTGAGGCACAAGAGCAGAGGGCTATGAAAAGAATGGGGGAGACTTAGTTTAGACCAGGAAAGTGTACAAGTGTGTAGGGTAAGGCTTTTCCATGCAAGTGTGACTTAAGCAGAGGCACTGATGTTCAAATAAGCGTGTACAGTCTAAGCCAGAAGGAACTACATATGCAAAGAGGCTAATAGATTTGCATGTTTAAAGAGCTGAAATAGGATATGTAGCTGCAATGTTAGTGGGTGAGAGGTAGGAATGGGCTGGATCTTGTAGTCCTTGAGGCCCCCATTAGGGCTTTTGATTCTCATTTTTCCATTTCCCCCTTAAACTTTTCCTGAGAATCCTCCCCTGGGCCAGGCCATACCCAGGTAGCAGGGATACAGTGATTAATAATAATGAAAATGATAATGGCTGATATTCATTGAACACTACTTACCACTTGCTATTAGAACTACTGTTCTAAGCACTTGGCTGCACCAAGTCATTTAAGCCTCCTGGCAACCCTATGCTGAGAGGTTAGAAACTAAATAACTAGTTAGAAACTAAGTAATTTGCAAGCTCCAAGTACCAGTAAGTGGTAACAGGCAGTCTGACTCTAGAACTGCTAGGCACTTAATATTCTTAATGTGGGGGAGTGCAGACATAAGAAACAAACCTTAGAGAATTTTTAGATGACATATGCCAGAGAGCAAGATCTCAAATTCTCCTGAGAATAATAGTTTTGCAGCTTCTTTTATGCATTTGAAATTAAGAACATACCATAGAGGTACGTCTTAGGGTGATTCCTCTGAATCTCTACACTAACCACTATGATTTATTACCTATTGCCTAAGATTAGAGGACACCCTTCCTGGTCATTTTAGCACTTCAGATATAGGTAGCTAGTTAGGAAGAGAATTTCCCAAACTTGGCAGAACTAAGAACTCTTGGGTGAGTTAAAAACAGACTCTTCTCCTGAAGATTTAGTTTCAGTAGGTCCACCCTGAAATTTGTTGGTTTTTTGTTTTGTTTTGTTTTGGTGATAAATTTATTCAAACATATCTTTTCATATGGACTCACAGTCGGGTCTTCTCCCCCATTCCTTCACTGGGTTTATTTTTAATTTTGGCATTTTAGATTCTTATATTTTAAAATGATCTTACGTAGCCTGGCTGGTGTGGCTCAGTGGTTGAGGATCGACCCATGCACCAAGAGGTTGCCAGTTCAATTCCTGGTCTGGGCACATGCCCAGGTTGGGGTGGGGGGAGGGCATGAAGGAGGTGGCCAATCCATGTTCTCTGTCATGGATGTTTCTCTCTCTCTCCCCCTTCCTCTCTCTCAAGAGTCCTGTAAAGCAGCTACAGCCCTGCTTACAGGGTAATTTATAGCTATAAGTGCCGCTAACATCAGGAATATCCATTCTTGCTACTTCAATTCACATTGTAATGGAGGTTCCTGGTGTTGGCCCAGAGGGAGAAGAAAGACGAGTAGGCATGAGGGCCCCTGGTGAGGACTGGCTGGACCAGCACAGGCAAGAGCAGCCTGGAATTTATATTTTTAACAAGTTCGACAAACACTGGCTTGCAGTTCAGTTCAATGGTTTTTGCTGGATCCTCGTTTAAGTCAGCTGCTGCTTTGCTATATTTCTAGGTGTGTCACCTTGTGCAAACTGCTTCACCTCTCCGAGCATCAGTTTCCCTATCTGACAAATGAAGGGAATGATACAGCACCATCTCCTGGGGCTGTTGCGTGGATTAAGTGAGCTGCCCCCAAAGTGCTTAGAGCGTGTCTGATATGTAGTGAGCAATGAAGACAATAATAGGATAGTGATGATGACAGGGAAGCTGAAGACCCTGGTGATTGTCATAGATCACAGCTGGTGCTTGGAGGACTGTCCTGAGACAGGGCTCAGTCCTGTTGACCTTAAAGTACGGTTCCCAGATAAAATACAGGTGCCCAGTTAAATAGGAATTTCAGATAGACAACGAAAAAAATGTTAGCCTAAGTGTGTCCCAAACAGTGCATGGGGCATGTTTATACTAAGCTAACATTCACTGCCCATCTGGGCGTTCTGCGTTTGTATTCGTTACACCTGACAACCCTACCTGTAGGGAAGGGCTGGCCCCCAGCCTGAGCCCGAAGACACCCCTCCACGCACGTGGGCTCCAGACTGGGGGCCTCCACTCGCCAGGCGCCCCAGCCGACCCCAGAGGGGCCGCTCAAGCGTCCGCCCGGCCCAGGCGACGCTAGGGGCGCCCCAGCGGCCAAGCCCGCGAGCCCGCCCGCCCGCCGCCCCGCCCCGAGCCAAGGGTGCCGCCCCCGCGGACCGGGCGGGGCAGGCAGTTGGGCTGCGTGGAGTCGTCCGCTCCCTCCCACGCAGTGTACTCAAGCGGGACGAGAAGCTCGCTGGCCATGTCCGCGGCGGAGGCGGGGGGTGTTTTTCACAGAGCCCGGGGCAGGACCCTGGACGCGTTTCCCGCAGGTACTCGGGGAGGGGATGACTTGAGGACTGCGGAACCTTCCGCCGGGGGAACCTTCAGTCTGGGTGCGCGCGTCTCCAGCCGGACCCCTTTGGGGCCGCAGTCGGCGCCGCGGACCAAAATAACGTCTGCACAGCCGGCGCGGAAAGGCTTCCCGGGCGCTCTGGAGACCAGAGGAGGCGGGTCGCGGAGCCCCGCGGGCCTTGACCTAACTTCCCCGAGGGGACAGTGAGGCAGCGAAGCAGTTAGTGGAGCGTGGGGTTGGTTTCTACGCCTTGCCTAGGACTCGTGACTCAGCACGCCGTGGCCTCAGTTTCGCCATCTGTAAAACGGGAATAATAACAGCGGGTCCGTGTGGCACGCGATGAGTGTCAGGTGCATGCCCGGCCCCTGTCAGAAGTCGTTATTTTTATTACGTCGCTCACCTTGATGTGTTTTATACGCCGCAGTCACAGCTCTTTACTGTAATATGAGTCATCCCCTAAAACGGTAACAGCGCCCATCAGAACAGGAGAGAGGGGCGCCTCAGGAGTCGCGTGCGAGTTCAGTGCTTGGACTTTGGATTTAGATAATCTGCCTCACTGTAAAAATGGGTTTGTGAGGCTTCTCGCAGGTAACAGATTAACCAGATTTTCCTTGGAGCAGATCGACACTGTTTTTGAAACCCAGCGTCTGCCACAGACTAGGTGCTGCTGAGTGAAGGTTGGCCCTCGAGCTCTAAGTCCTGGTTCCTTGGTTCTCTCTGTGGCTTTGTGCTGCCTGGAGTCAGATTCCCTCCCTTGCACTCACCCGTGCTGCGACCCAGGGGAAGTCACAGAAGCCCTGCTGGATCTGGCTTGTGCTCACCTTCCCTGCGTCGTGCTGCCTGCTTCCCCTCGCCCAGTTGCCACCCTGGTTTTCTCGAACTCGTTGAAAAGGGCCAGCTGTGGTCTCTCTCTCCTCAGGACCTGGGCTCTTGCCCTTCCCTGCTCCCATAGCTAATAGCTGGGCTGGGGGCTATCTTCACAGCTTATTTAAAGTTAAGTCACTTCTCAGACAGATTGTCTCAGTTTCTCTCTCTAAAGGAGGTTCCTCCTGCAGTCCTGTCCTAAAACCTTGTTCTTTTGTTTCTTTGCAGCTGCTGGTGGGGAGTGGGAAGATTCTGGAAGAGCATGGGGTCCCGGTGGGGGCAGAAATGTAGCTGTGGTGGATTTGGGGAAGTGCAGTCCGCTGTAGTGCCCGTTCTCTAAACATTTTAATATACTTTTTTTTTGCCCATTATGTGATTTTTGAGATTTATCCATATTGATATAAGTAGCTCCAGTTTACTCATTTTCCTGCTGGGCAGTATTTCATTGTATAAATATATACTTTGGGCATTCTGTTGCTGTATATGCTGAGTATCTTCCCTTTGTCTCTCTGAATTAGTCATCCTTCTCCACCTGCTCCAGGAGGATAACCTCTAAGGGCTTCAGTGGGCTCCTTGTCCTCTGGCTTTCCATTGGGTTCAGCCAATGGAGAGTCCCGACCAGAGAGCAGAGTAAGGGGGGATTTAAGTCAAGGTATTTATTCCTCCACTTTACTCCCTGTGGGCTTTGGGCTGGTTATATTCCTTACCCTGAAGGTCGCTGCTTTCAAGATAGTCTTTCCATGGGACATTCTTTTCAGATGTGGGTAACCACTTGCTCCCTCCCTCCTTTCAGATGTAGGAGCGGCAACAGCTCTGTATTTCTATCTTTGGGCTCCTAAATTGTCTTTTGTAGTTTTCTACACTCAACACATCCCAAACAATCTATTTTTAAACCCTCCTTTAGTTATCCTAATTCTGAATATGCCAGCTATTCCCTGATAATAATGGACATTGAGTTGTTTCTGTTTTTTTAACTCTTGGTAACAGTGCTGTTATGGACATTTGTGTACACATCTCCTTGTGAACACATAGGGAAATTTCTCCAGGACACATACCCAGGAGCAAAGTTCTGGCTTTAAGGTATAATCCCCAGCTTTACCAGATCTTGTCAAATTGCCTCCCAAAACCCTGGCACCAGTTTATACACCCGCCAGCAGTGAATGAGAGTTCTTTGTTACCCTCTGCAGATCTCATTTCAGTTCAGAATGTGTTTATTAGGTTCCTGTTGCATTCTTTAGTATCTTGTAGAGCTACCAAATGCAGACGAGGGGATAACTGGTAGACTTCTGGGCCACTGCAGTGGGAGGAGTCGGGATGTTAAGCATTGGTCCTGGGTGATGGTGGGTTTGTTAACTGAAATCACAGAATAAGGAGTAGGGTCAGGTTTGATGGGATTGTTTTGGGAAGTAATGGCTTTGAGTTGCCATCAGGAAGTATGACAGATCTTGTGGGGTATAGTGCACAGCTGGGGTTGGAGGTGTGGTTTCTACCCACAGAGAGGAGAGTAGGTTGTATTGCTGTAGGAGTCAGTGACATTGCTAAGGGGGAAAGTGTGGCGTAGTGGATGATGTGTGTCTCTGTGTGTGGAACCTTAGGATATGCCAGTGTTTAGGGGGCAGGAAGAAGAAAAAGATACACTGAAGGACTTAGCAGAAAACAACCAGAAGTTTTGGAATATAAACCCAGGAGCTGACCTTGGCACCAAAGTTGGGGAGGAGGGCTGAAGGCAGGATGGTACACAGGATCAGATGTTGACGATGTCCAGGTGAATGTTAGCTGAGCAGAGAATGGCAGGTTTGATTGTTTTGTCGCCTGGAGGAGAACAATTTCAGTGGAGATGTAGGGAGACACCTGGTACATCATGTTTGAGGAATGGCAGAGAGTGAGGATCTGAAGTCAGCAAGGGTAGGATTCTGTTTGCAACCATAGGTCAGTAGCAGCTTAAGGGAGGAGCCATGCAGAAGGACGCCTGAAGGGTTTGAAATAGCAATAATGATCGGAACAATAGGAGCATCTAACATTTATCAGGTGTTTGTGCCAGGCAGGCACTATACTCTGGGTTGTATGTGGATTATGCCATGGAATCTCCAAAACAGTCCTGCTGAGGTAGCTATTATGATTATTCTCCTTTTATAATAGAAAAAAAAATCAAGCTCAAAAAAGACTAAGCAACTTGGCCAAGGTCTCACAATTGGTATGAGATGGATCTGAGGTTGAAAATGCAAAAGGCAGGATAATTGTTGGAGAGAGATATTGTGGAGATGGGGAAAGATGGGATCAAGGCCTAGGAAGAGCGGGTGACCCTGGGACCAAATGTACTCTTTGACCATCTCTCCATCCTTCTGTCCATCTATCCAACTGTGTCTATCCATCTATCTACTGGGCCATCCACCCATCATTCTATCCATGATATGTCCCTATCTTCATCTGTCTCTCTATCCATCTGTCTTTGGTTCATTCACATGCCCACTCATCCAGTGTACTAAGCACTTGCCTTTTCCCAGCCATGGTGCTAGATGCCAGAGGGAAAAACAGATGTGTTCTGCACCTCTGGCACGTAGCTACTAGGAAAGCCTGACATTAACCTGCCAGTCACACAAACCAGTGTAAATTGCAGTTGTGGCAAATGTCAGAGAAGTGAGGGATTGGTACCAAGAGAGCATTAATAAGGACGTTCGGGGAGGGCGTCCTTGAGGAAGGGGTGTGTCATCTGATTGCTGGAGGATGATTAGGAGTGAACTGGGCCTTGAAGGGAGGGCAGACCATTGTGGACCATGGGCAGAGCAAGTCTGAAAGTCTGGCATGGTGGGACTGGAAAGGGAAGGATGAGTGAAGAAAGCACTGGGTCTGGAGCAGTGTGGTATGGGAGGACACTGGAGAATGGGTTGGGGGTAGGTGAGTTTGTCTTTGCCTAATGGCATCAAAGGATTTTAAGCTGCATGTGTATAGAATGTCAGATATCCACTTTGAATCGAATGGCCTGTCTGCAGCAATGACAACAAAAGCATTTCTCCTTACGAGGAACTTGGGGTGCAATCTGATTGGAAGCTGGAGCTCAAGAATTTGCCTTGGAGCATCATTTCCACTGCCCTACATTGTTTATTTTCAGCAACTGGAGGTGCGTGTGGTCATGGTGGTGGGGCTTTCGATGGAGATGGTGGGATGCTGAGGTGTTGAAGCCCCCTAACCCTTTGGAGCTTCCACAGGCTGCCAGTAAGGCCAGAGAACAAGAATTGTTCTCATGGAAAAGACTAGGTGGGGGGAGGGGTACATGTGGGGAGGGAGTCTTAGAAGATAAATTGATGAGATAGAAGAGTGAAAATTACCCTGGACTTCTCTAGAAGTGGGGTCTGCACTTGGTCTCCTGTGGGTCAAGCAGCCCTGGTGGGCATGCCCAGTATGGGTCCTGTAGCACAGGGCTTTTGGAGGCTCGTCCTTGAAGGCTTAGGCTGTGAATCCCTGGTCTTGTTGGTTTACTTCACTGGGTGCTGAATCCCTAGTCCACAAAGACGCCTTTGTTGCTATCACTGGCTTTTCCCTGGGTTCTAGTTCTGTTAGCATTGCTGGTGACTTTGAGAGATGCCTTTAAGGTCCATTGTCAGTCCAGGCTCTGCTGGAACGTAGAACCTTGAACCCGTAGAGTTGCCCCAAGGGCAGGCCTGGAAGCAACTGGCATTTCCTGTCTGTTGCCCAAATACATACTGCCTGTCAAAGGGGTTCGGTTAACTCAAACAACAGTGCCTAACATCACATCCCCGACACGGAAGACTCTCACTTGCTACCAGAAGCCCCTACCAGCCAGTTAAACAGTTGGTTTCTCAAGTGAAGTCTGGCAAGTGAATGAATGTCTTAGTCTGTTCAGGCTGCTGTAACAAAATACCACAGACTGAATGGTTTATAAACAGCAGATACTGCTCACCGTTCTGGAGGCTGGAAGTCTGAGATCAAGGCACCTGTAGATTCGGTGTCTGGTGAGAACCCTCTTCCTGGTTCGCAGAGGGCTGTCTTCTCACTGTATCCTCTCATGACAGAAGGGTGAGGAAGCTCTCTGAGGTGTCTTTTCTAAGGGCAATAATCCCATTACTAAGCCCTCAAGACCTAATCACCTCCCAA